TAGATTATACATATCAATATATTATTAATTTAAATAGATTATATATGTCAATAGATTATTTATGGCAATAGATTATACATGTGAATAGATTATACATGTCAATCGATTATACATGTCAATAGATTATCCATGTCAATAGATTATATATTTCAATAGATTATACATGTAAATATATTATACATGTCAATAGATTATACATGTCAATAGATTATAAATGTCAATAGATTATACATGTCAATAGATTATATATGTCAATATATTATACATGTCAATAGATTATTTATGTCAATAGATTATACATGTCAATAGATTATACATGAAAAAGCGTCCAAGTAGAGGTTCGAAAGACTTCCAGCTCATTCACGACAATGCCTCATCCCACAACAGGCGTTTTTGAAGCAGGAGACGGTAGCAAAGATTGATCACCCACCCAATTAACCAGATCTAAACTCCTGTGAGCGTCTATGAGTACTCTGGGTAGTGCGATCTTCCAGTGTCTCGCAAGCATACAAAGGGGAGACAACCGCGCAGCGATCACGTCATAGAGAGCGGGATCGCGAAAATTCATTTTTGCAAAGAGGGATACTTCGACGGATATAATAGAAAGATCAAACCTTGTGTTTCTTGTTCCTAGTGAAGAACTTACTCAATGACCTTTGTATGTAGTGTGGCCAGGGCAAGGTGCGAGCGGAACGAAGGGCGCCCGGCATACGACCAGTCATGGAACGAAGGACGCCCGGCATACGACCAGTCACGGAACGAAGGGCGTCCGGCATACGACCAGTCACGGAACGAAGGGCGCCCGGCATACGACCAGTCACAGAACGAAGGGCGCCCGGCAAACGACCAGTCACGGAACGAAGGGCGCCCAGCATACGACCAGTCACAAACACTTCACTTTGTTAGGATTTCAATTCTTCGCAAAAGGTGAAATCATATCGAGTCGGTAGTTCCGGAGTTGAGGTTGACACCGCCAAAACAAAGAGCAGATAGGCTAAACACCTGGATAAATATGTCAATGGTTCAACAATAGAGAGTAGTAGATCAGTTATGGGTATATAAATGTAAACAGACGACCCCCTCCTCCCTCCCACACACACTTATAATGAAGGGGGCTTACATTTGTACATTGAACATTAGCCGCCTCTTACAAATGCTGCCGTGGGATAGAGCAGATTTATTCTATCAAGTAAAATATCATTATCATATATAAATTGTTATAATAGATAAGTAGATAAGTGTCCTTCTACAGCAATGGATATATTAAGTGATCACGAGTACATATCTAAAAATAAATATTCCAATAAAGATGACGTAACACAGATAAAGGTAACGTTATCTAACGGACATGTTGAAGATGTTGTAGCGAGGTGGGCGGAACACGACGGATCACTGAGAAATGGGGCTCCTAGTTCTTTTTGTCGTTTTGACGATTTCACAGGTAAGAAGTTATTATTCAAATAATGCAAAGATCTGACCGTGTGCTACATATAAGACGGTAAACCTACTTTATACTACAGATAGATGTAGATAGATATCGTTATTTCCTCCATTATCATGACGATTATTCAGGGGATAGTACGTTGTTTTGAGTGGCTATACTGGCGATTAGAACATGAAATTTTGGTTTGCACTCGAGACCGATAGGTCGAGAGTTTAAACCCAAATTTCCTGTTCTTATCACCAGTATAGACAAGGGAAACAACGTACTATCCCCATTCTTAACAAATATACTAGGCTAATATGTTTAGAAATATTGTATTTCCTTGTACAAAAGTACGTAGTAAAATATTTTATGACCTGAACTGGCGACGTGTCATTCTGCAGCGGACTGACCAATCGGAAAGAAGCTTTCAAAAGTCGGTCATTTGGCTCCGCCCATACTGACGAGCGCTCGATCTGTATGTTGACGAGACGGAATATTTGAAATGTTCGTAAACGTACTGTCACCAAAGTTTATACGACACATGACCAAATTCTTACATTTCCACGTCAGTATGCATACCAATCTGTGCTTACCGACAAAATCGGTGATTATTTGTATAGATTTGTAAAGAGTTTTGTGTAAATTCATACGACAAATGTGAAATGTTTTATTTGATTTCGGATTTAAATAGATGCCTTCACACAAATGGAACGAACGTTTCAGTAATAAATTGAGGTAAGTACAAGGAATGTGTACTTTTTACTTTTTAATTCATTCAACAAATACATTTCATCGGTCGTTTCTGTTCTGTTGCCTGCTAGCCTTATCAGCGGGATTTCGCTAAGAGGCGAGCTTGACGCCATATGTTGTTGCTGTTGTTGTCTGTAATTTCCCCCGCTACCTAATCGGGGCACCTCGATGTGGTCTTCTGTCGAGTAGTTTATATCGTTGGGGTACTTCCTGTCGTTCCTGTATATTTATATTCATGTCACATGGTGAAATCCCATTACCGTATCGCTTACCATCACCCGATATATAAATGCATATAAATGTAGCACGATCACTAATTCTAGTGACTCGGTTGAGGAAAACTGGACGAAATTCAAAAACGGCTTAAATTCCATCATCGACGAGCGCATTCCATCCAAACTGACCTCCATGAAACCTAATCAGCTTCCATGGGTTGGCAGACCAGAACGCCGCCTCATAAAGAGGAAACATCGCCTCTACAACAAGGCTAGGAAAAGTGGAAAGGATCGTACAGAGTCCACAAAAGGGAAACCCAAAAAACTCTCCGAACCGCAGAATGGTCCCACTTAGAGCGTACACTGCAGGTAGGAATTTAGCAGAAAAACAACGAACCCTTCTGGCGATACATCAAGGCCAGAAGCAGGACAACATCGGAATTGCTCCACTGAAAGAGGGTAACAAACTACTCACCGACAGTACAGACAAGGCGGAGGCCCTAAATCGACAGTTTCAGTCGGTGTTCACAACGGAGCCCCCAAATCCGGATCTCCCACCTCTCACCACACCCAAGTATCCCATCATGAGGAACCTCATTATAGATGAGAAGGGAGTTGAGAAGTTGATCCGCGAAATCAATGTCAGTAAGGCTAGTGGTCCAGACAACCTTCCAAATCGTGTCCTTCAACAGTACTCAATCGAACTTGCCCCGGCAATGACTCATATACCCCAACAATCGATTCTGATCGGTGAACTCCCTGATGACTGGAGGAATGCCAACATTACACCAATCTTTAAGAAGGGTAACCGCCATCAACCCAGCAACTACAGGCCAGTGTCGCTCACGTGTGTGTGTTGTAAACTGGTTGAGCATATTATCTGCCGCCACCTCAGGAACCATCTCGAGGAATACAACATACTGACACATCTACCACATGGCTTCAGGTCAGGACACTCCTGTGAATCCTAGCTGCTGATTACCACCTATGACATCACCAGCATGTACGACAGAAAGCTACAAGTGGACACTGCCATCCTGGATTTCAGTAAGGCCTTCGACAAGGTTCCCCATTCAAAACTCCTGTACAAACTAGAGAATTTCGGTGTGAACCCCGACATCCTACAATGGATCAAGGCCTTCTTGACATCACGGACCCAACGAGTACTTGTAGACGGCAGCCATTCAACACGAGTGAAGGTAGATTCATGGGTTCCCCAGGGGACGGTCCTGGGACCTATACTCTTCCTCTGCCACATCAATGACTTGCCCGACTGCGTAACATCTACTGTACGTCTATTCGCTGATGATTGTCTGCTATACCGTCCAATTCGATGCCTACAAGACCACCTGGACTTCCAAAAAGACCTCAAGTCTTTGGAAGAATGGGCAACGAAATGGGGTATGTCTTTCAACGCGTCGAAATATTATATTCTAAGAACATCAAGATCCAAGTCTCCTAGTGCCTACAACTACCAACTGTCGGGCCAATTACTCAAAGAAGTGGAAGAAAATCCATACTTGGGGGTGACCATTCACAACTCCATGAAGTGGGACTCTCATATCCCCGTAACACAACCAACAAGGCAAATTCCACTCTCGGATTCCTAAGACGAAACCTGCGACAGTGCCCAGCGTCACTAAACCTGACCGCATACAAATCGTTGGTGAGATCCGTCCTGGAATACCGCTGCACGATATGGGACCCTTACCACCAAAACTACAAGATCGTGAAGGGGTTGCACTGCATGAAAAAATGAGTTTAGTTGCATTTTATTTGCCATTTATTTGCCATTTAAATTTCAAGTTGATGGAAATAACGGAATTTAATGTGCATTTTATTCCGAGTTTAAATGGGATAAAATTCGAGTTTAAAGAAAATGTAAACTTAAGAGTTTCCAGCTAAATTTATTTTTCATTTAAATTTGGAATTTAATTCCTTGTAAATCTATATTAAACTTCAAATATCATTACTCAAAAACTTGAATTAAACTTGGAGTCTTAATTTTATTCTTTTAAATCCATAATAAATTCCAAATATAATTGCTCTTAAACTCAAATTAAATTTTGGAGTTTCAAATTTATTTCTCTTTAAATCCGTCAAAAACTCCAAATAAAATTACTCTTAAACTCAAATTAAACTTGATCTTTCACATTATTTTAAATCCATAATAAACTCCAAATTTAAATTCTCTAAAACCTGTGTTATACTTGGAGTTTTAAATTTAAACCTTTTAAAATCTGTAGTTTAACCCGAAATATATTTGCTCTAAAACTCCATGCAACTTTATATTTCAACAGTTCTTAGTATGTAATAAACTCTAAATATAACTGCTTTTGAACTTAACTTCGGTTTTGAAGTTGTTGTTTTTTAAAATATGTATTAAACTCAACAAATGTTGCTCTATAATTTGATTCAAACCAAGTGTTTTAATATATGTTAATTCTTTAAAAACTGCATATAGCATTACTACAAAACTTATGACATTTCAGTAGTGTTCATTTGATTAATCCTATTTCCAGATATTTTAAAATTCTTTATTCATTAAAGTTTTATCATTTTGTATTGAAAGTCTGAAGTATAAATCTGAAACAAATACACTTAACTTCATGAGTTTTTATTACTGTGATATTTCAAAAAGCAATATTAATTAAAAGCAAATTACATAATGCACCGAGTTACCAACAAATAACTATAAATAATTATTCAATCATACCATCAGTTGTATTTGAAATAAAATCAGATTATCCATTCAAAATATCATCAAGTAAACATGTACATTTACAAATATGGCAACAAAAACAGTATATGAAAATTGCTTTTACAATAATTTTAGACAGACGGCTGAAATAATTTCAACAACATCACTTAATGTAAGAAGTGAATGATTCCCAAAGACCTAGAGTAACTTTCCTGGCAATCATCTTTGATTTAAACATATTTTTATTTGCATCTATTATACGATTGGGATTGGGCACACGTTGTCCAACTTATATAAAGCCTTTTCTCAATAACATATTATAATATACATATATACAATGGCAAATTCAACTTTAATTAATATTTTCAATTAAGTTTAGTATAACATTATGAAAGAGAGAGAGAGATCATTGATGGATCTACTAATTATGTAACTACTGATTCACTGTCCATTCAATTTGTTTTGAAAGTCTTGATGGTGGAGCACGGGACGACACTACAGAATCCATCCTTCTTCTTTTTGCCATTTGTTTTCTGGACTTTGGAGTCTGTAGTGATACCCATTTATCGTCTAGCTCTTGAACAATTCTGTTCAATTCCTCACTCCTCCAAGGCAACTTCTTAATAACAAAACTATCATCCTCGGAGTCATTTTCCTCTTCTGATGACATCAAGTCAATGACCATCGCTGCCTGAACTTTTTTCTTTTTGTCCTCATCATAGGATCTTTTAGCTTTCAAAGCTGTCTTTCTCCAGGTCATTTTCTGGAAAAGATAGGCAATTGTTTATGTCCGAAGGCGGAAACATAGGTATAGGTATAACATATATAAAACTGTACTCCATGCAATATGGTTAACATATTTATAATATAAACACAGTAGTTCTTTACTGTGCATTATATGTATACAATAAGTGAAATAACACTGTGAGAAAGGATGTCCCCTCTCTCTCTAACCCCTATCCCTTATCTCTACTTCCTTTTCTGATTATCAATTCATTGTTAATAATAATAATAGTTCGAGGTTCTTATACACTGCTTTATCACAACCTAGATAGTTCGTAGGTTGTCTCAAAGCGGTTCACAAATTATTATCCATTGTTATAAGTTGCAACCAGCCAACTCCCTGGGGAGCATACAGCCGGTGCCCCCATTTCGGCACTCACAGCTAGCATTCAACAATTCTGCCACTGCCCAATCTCGTACTCATTTACAGATAAGTAGACTGGAACAAGCAGAGTAAAGTATCTTGCTCAAAGACACAACACAGTGCTGTGCCATGATTCGAACCTGCAACCCTTCGGTCGCGAGCCAGGCGTCTTATCACTTGACTACCGTGCCTCCTAGTTGACAGTGAAAAGGCTGAAGACACTATTGGGTAGATGATAAATATGCAAAATCTCTGTATCTTATCCCTATGAGGAGGGAAGTATGCAATAACTGTCATAATATGCATTTGGTTTATATTTACCCTCTTCCTTCTTCCATACAGCATCATCTTCTGACGATGTGCTTCTGCCTTTCCTGCAGCAGCTTTCAACTCCCGCTGTCTCACTGACTCGAAGTACCGCTCTACAGCAACTGAAATTTAAATGTTTATATGTTGTTGATTATTTTGGCATCATATCTGGCAATGGGTATATTTTCGTAATATGCTCCTATATATATATATGCATTCAACAATTCTTAAAACTCCCACAATAACACTATTTCTAGCACCACCATGCACACATCATGCATGTCTAAAGTTTTTCTCTTTTAAATATATATTATTTAGATTATATAAATTAAATGTGCGTACATACCATTGATTACTCCATTCTCTGTAGCAGGGTACATGCCCTTGGTGAATGCTACAACCTGGTCTGTAGTTTCTTTATTCGGAGTAGAATTGTACCTGAAAAGTGAAAATACATTACAATGTACAAGTTTGAACATATCTAGATTTGCGATTAGAGGCTTCATTAATAGTCAAAAGGTAGTAGAGTTAACATCACATCATATCTCTCATGAAACAAGATTTCAGGGGTAGAAATATGTGTAACACTCAAACTGTTAAGAATTGAGAAGTTTAGTTTAACTCAGATGCATGACCAGGAAAATGTGTAATGCATCACAGCATGTGACTTTTATGGGTTACTTCATTTGAGAAGGATCTCAAACAAATATTTCAGAATAGTAACAATTGTATTTAATACAGATTAAGTTTTTGGCATTTACCTTAATTGCATAAGATGATTACTTACTTAAGGCATTTGCCATCATTATCTTTCTGTATCCATTTGAGGTTTCTTTCTTCCATCCCGCATTTGTAACCATCGTGGACAGCTGACTGAAAATAGTTAAGATGTACATGTACTGTAAATTAACACTTTGGTCTTTGAATAGGAGAATGGGCAATTATTGGAATATTGGCAATTATCAGATCATAATGGTACATAAGAACCAGTCAAGGTAATATCAACTGTCAGGGCATGATAGACACTACAAAAAATACTATTGTCTTACTTTAATATGTGCTGGGACATCCAGTTTCTTTGGGGTAGCAATTGTAGATTTTGAAAGAACCATATTCAACTTTTCCAAGATTGTCTTGTTCTGGCGCTTAAGGTCATTCATCTTCAGAAGTACATCATGGCATCTACATTCTCGTTTCTGTAAAGCAAAAACATGGATTGAAATTTGGTGATGACAACTTCTGTTATGGCAGACACCATTTCATCCCTTTAACTTCCGGTCTTTGAAAGAATAAATAATACTTGTATTTATGCAAACTTGCCAAAAATAGAATAGAGTTTGTTTCAGGAATTGTTCTTTATTTCAAAATAGTTTTTTTAAAGATTATAAAATGTAGGAAAAAAAACAAAAAATCAGGGAGGAACATCCAAACTTTAAATCCCTCATAATTATGTTCTAATTATCACTAATTTTTCAGTGTTTTTTTTCTGTATCGGTGACAAAAAGAAATGCACGGCAAGACCGGGATTTGAACCGGAGACTCTCTGACCTCTATGAAGACACTCCACAAACTGAGCTATACTAGTGGCTGTGATCAACCCAGTCCAGTTCCACTACATTCCTCCCTCCTAAGTTTTCTAATTATCTTTGTCCATGAAGACATAAGTATTTACAATCCAGGTTTTGGTATCCGCTTGTCAAGCATTTACCCACTACTTGAATCAAGGGTTAGTAAACTCGCCAATTTTGTAATAGGTGAAGGAGAAATGCACAGCCAGACCAGGATTTGAATGCAGGACCCTCCGAGCTCTAGACAGACGCTCTATCAATTGAGCTACATGTACCTGATCGCCAACCTGTATTCCACTTACTATGCAGATCAATTTTAATAAACTTAATTAATTCCAATCAACCACAGTAATCTGATGTGTAATCAATATATATATTACAATCTGTATATAGTATAAGGGTTATTTGTTATATACAGATTGTTGTAGTTATATTGATTTGTAGCAGATTTTAATTGCACATAGGATTACTGTCGCCTTCGAGCTAGGGGGAATTTCCCTTTAGCTCAGTGGTAGAGCATCCGACTAGGAACCTAGGGATCGCGGGTTTGATCCCTGCTGTAAGCACATTTTTCTCTTTCCTGTTACAAATGGTGTCCATGGCCCTCCCTGTGGTGACAGAGAGTTAGAACCTGGGTTGTGGTGTTTGCACATTTAATAATGGGGGAGTAGTGTGACAGATATTAATTGTATTCATAGGATTACAATCGCCTTCTAGCTTGGAGCTAGAGTGAATTTCCCTTTAGCTCAGTGGTCCTACTAGGAACCTAGAGATCGTGGGTTTGATCCTTGGTTATTTAGTACTACAGATTAAATTAAAGACTCCTGTGAATCAACACTGATTGCAATAACTTTATATGTTGTTTATCAAATTATACATGTATGATATTAAGTCAATTACCTGCGCATTGATTTTATTTAAAATCCTGGTTTCAAATAAAAACTGATTGCAACTTTTGATAATGTCCATCTGACATCCAGTTAATTGTCCGTAAGAGCATGAATTTCATCCAATATTTTGCTTTTGTAATACAGAAGCTGTAATTGAAAGCTACATGTACTGCACTTACTGACATTTTGACATTTTTTTATAACATATTGAGACATGTACAAAAATACAAGAACATTTAATCACGGTTACATAAAGAAAAAAACAGTAGCCTCCAGAGCTTTTATCTGCGATTAAAAAAACCAGTTGGTTAAAAGTTAAAATTGGTTGGCCATGATCAGTCCATTGACATAGCAAAACAAAATATATATTTTTTGCTATATATCAATTTTAATTTGGCCTTTCAAGATCTTTAATTTGACCCTTTTTATGACTGTTAACGATACATTACTTTGTTCAACAAGGTAATGTATGATTATCAATCAAAAAAAAAAAAGAAATGGTCAAATTAAAAATCTTGAAAGGCCAAATTAATATCAGGTTACTTGGACGGTCACTGTCAGAGACACAGGTGCTGGACACACTAATACATATATATGTAAAAGTAAATAAACACTGTTATTAGTGTCAGGCACCTGTGGTCAGCGCACACGCATTTGTTTATGTCAGTAAAAATATTTCTTACAAGAAAAAAGTCACACCCTACTCATACAAAATACCAGTGAGTAGGGTGGTTTTTTTGTCAGAACTATTTTCATTTACAGAAACAAATGCCTGTGGGTCAGGGTTGTGTTTGTAATACATCAGAAGGCCACTACAGTAATGCAAGTGCAATTGTCTTTGAGGCAAAATGCAAAATATCTTAAATCAGTGTTTAAATAATTACTATACTTTCTAGTTACTTACATCTTCGTTGCCTGATGAGATCCCTTAGAATGAAGATGGTATAGACGATTTCGACTGGATATACGTTTGTTTATTTTCTTCCTGACGTTTGTATTTCCGGGCATGCGTACTGGGCGTACGAATGGCGGTTGGTGTTACTAAAATTGACTTTCTCTTTTCGCCGCGTATCAACGGTCTCTCGTCAATTTCTCCGCAGTCAGAATGATCATCAATAATAGGATGATCATTTTCAGACGACGAACTGTAGTCATAGACGGGAGAAGACGCTGGAGATCCGACAGATGCCATGATGTAGACGAGAATTCTAGCGGCGTGTGACGTACGTGTGGTCAGTAAGCGCGTGGTACAGAGACTGGACCGTTGGCGGGCCGGGATGGACCTATCATATATCGGTAAATCTGGCGCAATGTATCATATTTCTTTGGAAATGCATTCCTATCGTTTCGAATTAAAATGAGCAAACTGGTAGTTAAATGCGAATAACTTAATTTTGTCATGTCTGACGTCTTTTTGCCATCGTGTTATTATTATTTTTTGCAGGGCATTGTTATTGTTGCATTGTCTGTCTTTTGGTAAAATATACGAAAATTTTCATAAGATGTACACAGTGAGTATACAGAAAATATTCAATTTGACTAGCAGGGATTCATTTGTTTAACGTGAATATATATATATATGTGAAGGTACTTAAACTTGGAAGTTATATATATGCTAGTACTTTTAGTAATTAGTACCCAGCCATCTCATCATCAGGACAGAATTTAAACTTTAATTGCTTACGTTATTTCAATAAATGTATATATCACATCAGTAAATTTAAGCGGTTATTTATTAAATTGAGCATACAATTGAAATATATACATTGCAACCTGAAAAAAAGTCTTTCAAACCCCGGGAATAGCCACAAAATTAAATCATCCTATCACAGTTAATCTCTAATAATATATTTTACTTGAATGTAATTAAGAAGGCCTATGCTATAGTCTTTCAGGCCTCAATAAATTTATGTTGATGTATATTTATTTCAATCTCATTAATATTTGTGACTCAAGAAAATGTTGTTCCAATAACATGTAATCTATTTAATCTAGGATTAATTATTTAACCTTTGACTGTGACTCATCAATGATGATTTTCTGTGATCAATTCTTTTTGTGTTATACTTTATCATGATCACCTAAGAGTTATTGAGATCCAAATTCTGAGCAGACCTGAAAACTGATTACCGGTAAACAATTTTACTCATTACTTTATTAAGTTTCCTATAAAATGCATTCAAATAACATTCGATCCTGCTTATACTATAAGTAGAAATGTTATTTGAATGCATTTTACATTTTATGGGAAACTTAATATAGTTACGAGTAAAATTGTAAAAAGACTTTAAGGCTTTCTTTATTACTTACAATGACGTAAAGTTATATGTGTTTTGTTTTTTTTTTTTGCTTTAGATATTGAGTCATTTCATTTCTGTTTTATCTCTGTGAACAGGTTAAGATGACTGCTTTGGAGCTTGCCAATTTAAAGACCTGTTCATCATTTTGTGTTTGGCATGACTGACAACAATAGGAATTTATCTTCTTAGGGTAAGTATTTGCGGATGTTTCATGGCTGCAACCTTAGGGCAATGGTTATGATCAGTAATGACCAGTGTACATGAACATGTATTATATGAAATTCAAATTGTAAAAATCACACAAATTTAACTAAATATTAATTGAGAATTAACATCTTCCTTTTCTTTAGAATTCTTTAATCTAAAGGATGACTGCTACCTGCAACATACAATCATTGTATATATATATGTGAATGAGTATGTGGTTTGGCAGCCCTAGAATTGTTGAATGCTAGCTGTTAGTGCCGCAATGGCGGTTCCGGCTGTATACTCCCCATGGAGTTGAGTAAGGTATTGGCTAGTTGCAAAGGCCCTATACTATAACCTTGGATAATAATTTGTGAACTGCTTTGAGACGACCTACGAACTAGGTTGTGATAAAGCGGTATATAAGAACCTCAAATTATTATTATTATTATTATATTGTGTCCGGAAACCTGTATTTTTCACTTTGGAACATAATTTCAGTGTCTGTTAAATAAATATAATGTAAAGAGATATACAATATATATACAATTGCCGTTCTCGTCAATTGTGATCCTGATATAACAATGGAAATCATGTGTACCTTTATGATTTACTCAAGTGCATGAAAAATTTAACCAATATGATAATACATTAGATTTTATTGAACTTGTAAATAAATATGTCAATATAGTCAAGCATTGACTGATTTGTAAATATCCCACAATAAGCTGTCATTTTCCCATTTTGGCGGGCGATAGCCAAGGAAATTTATGTTTAAAATTTGTTGTGTTTTTGCTTTATGTCTCTGATACTGAAAAGCTATATTTTTTGTATGAATATTTGGCTTCTGCTTTAAATTGTACGACCCTGGTTAACGTGCTGATCTGTTGTTATAGAACCAGAAGTCTGAACAATGGTAGTTAGTAATTATTTTTATTATTATTAACAGCAGAATGGGACGTCATACTAAAAAAGAAAAAGCAGAAGAAAGGAAGAGAAAGAGGAAGGTACGAAGGAGTCATGCTAATGTATTGACAACAGCAGATACAAAGTGTGAAGTAACCAGGCCAGCAAGTCCCTTCAGTGTAAGTGATCAGGACAGTACATGTCCATGGACACGGTACAGCTTGAAATACAAGAAAATGTACAAAAAGATGTTCTTCTTCCACTACCACCTAAAAGAATGACTTTTTCAGACTACTTCCCAATAGGCAGTACTTCAATGACTGTTAAATTACAAAAACAGTTAGAAGAGGAAAAGGAAAAAAGACACAAACCACAAAGATTTGCACTTCACTGTACAACTCTTGTAAAAATACAGAAGAAAAAAATGAAAACTTGAGAAATATTCTACAAAATGTATACATGTACACATATATTTTGTTCAGCAGCATGAGGTGTGTTATTACAAGTTTTCACAAATATATTAACATTTGAATCATATATAGTGTATAGTTTATATCATGTCCTCCAAAAGAACAATTTCTAAGTTTCACTCCTGTTATAGAAAAAAGGCAACTAAAAAAAAATGTCCGGGATGTAACCAACTTTTTTCTAGTCAGTACTTTAAAAACCATGAAGTTGAATATTTTCACAATGACGATTGGCTATGTTCTAAGAAAGGTGCCAGTGGTAATGAGAGTGAAAATGATAATGAGCATATCGATGATTATACTGATTCAGTTCTAAGCTCTGATGAACATGAACTTTCTAAAAATACTTTGTCGAAACAAATGCACAGCTTGATAAAAAAACAAATTGCTAAATAATGTTCATTCTACAGATTTACTTGAAAATCTCTCTGATTCTGATGATGAAATTTGGAATGCTGTTTCAGAGCTTGATATTGAATCAGATTTAACCTTGATCAACAAAGACAATTTGCAATGTAAACCAAGTACAAAAGCAACTTCACTTGTCTTTTGGTTATGTATTTTTATTTGCACTTGGCAAGCTTTACATGTAATTCTTGATACAGCTGTAAACACTGTTCTTTCTTTTCTTTCTATGTTTTTCCATGTATTGAGCACAGAGTCATCTGCCATAGCAGGTATTGCTGCCATTTTCCCATGCTCTATTTATATGCTGTGGAAAACATTAGGATTACAGAGAGATAACTTTCAGAGATATGTGGTTTGCAGGAAATGCTATTCTTTGTATAAGTATGAGGAATGTGTTAGAATTGTCGAAGGGGAGCAGGTGTCTGCCACCTGCTCAAAAAATCATTTCCCCAATCATCCTCAACATACAAGAAGACAACCCTGTGGTGAAATCCTGTTGAAGACTATACAACTGTGTAGTGGGAAAAAGAGATTATATCCATTCAAAACATATTCTTATAAATCAGTACAGGAGACACTTCAGAGACTGTTTCATCAGGAAAATTTTGAAAATAAATGTGAGAAATTGAAACAACGAAAACAGCAGACAGGTTACTTAACAGATGTGCATGATGGAAGAATATGGAAAGAGTTTCAATCCCAAAACAAAAAAGAGTTTTTGAAAACACCAAGAAATTATGGTCTTATGATCAATTTAGACTGGTTTCAGCCTTTTGAACATGTCCAATATTCTGTTGGTGTCATATATGCAGTTGTTATGAACTTGCCAAGGGAAGAACGTTTCAAATTAAAAAATGTCATTCTCATTGGTATAATTCCAGACTTGAATGGAGAACCCAGTGTCAATTCATTTATGGAGCCATTAGTAAATGAACTGAAAGTGGCATGGGAAACTGGATTTGAAATGTTATCTTACAACAGCAAGAAATTAAAGAAGACATATAAATTTGCTGTTATGTGTGTTGGATGTGACATTCCTGCGACAAGAAAACTATGTGGATTTTTGGGACACAATGCCAGATTAGGGTGTTCGAAGTGCAACAAAGAATTTAAAGGGACAGTGGGAAATATGAACTATGGTGGGTTCAATTTGAATAACTGGCCAGAGCGAACACTAGAGGCTCACAAGGAGATAGCAGAAACATTGGCACAAGCCAGAACTCCCACTGAACTGCACATGCTTGAGAGCAGATATGGAATTAGAAAATCTGTTTTGTGTGATTTGGAGTGTTTTGACCCCATCAGGATGTCAACTGTGGATCCAATGCACAATCTTTTTCAGGGAACTGCAAAGAAAATGATTAAAATTTGGATTAACCAAAATATTATCAAAAGTAATGACATGGAGAAAATTCAACAGAAAGTTGATTCAGTAGATGTAGCCTGCAATATTGGTGCCATTCCAAGAAAAATCGCATCATCTTTTGGGGGGTTTACTGCTGAGCAGTGGATGAACTGGACTAACATATTTTCTGTTTTTGCTCTAAAGGACATTATTCCAGACAAAGATTTGGAAATATGGCGCAATTTTGTCTTGGCTAGCAGAGCTATTACATCAAAATTTGTCACCCAAATTGATATCAAAGTGTTTGAAAGACACATTTTGAACTTTTGTCAACAGTTTGAAGCTGAGTATGGAACACCCAACATGCATATGCATTTGCATTTGGCAAAGTGTGTTGAAGACTATGGGCCTGTATATTCCTTTTGGTTATTTAGTTTTGAACGCTACAACGGACATCTTGGGTCTCTTCCTAACAACAACCGCTCAATTGAAATTCAGCTAATGCGAAGATTCAATAGAGACTCATTTGTATCCTCGATGGCTTTCCCTGAACTGTTCAATTTTGAATTCAGCTCTGTTTTGAAAAAAATGAATTCTTCAGAAGTAAAGAAGATGGACACATCAGTATCTGGTTCTGATATTTTAAAGATACTTTACATGGCAAGTAAATGTGCACCTATCACTGACCAAGAATGGCATTTTACTGGTGTTTATTCATTTTCTAAACGGTCAAATAAATTTATGAACACAGAAGACTATAATCTGTTACAGGCCACTTACAGAACTATGTATCCTACTTCAGTTCATGCCATTGACGCTATGCCTATGTCTTACAGGAGATGCTCATCAATATTTCTTGGAAAGGAAGTGTATGGCACTTGGCATTCTAGGCATCGTAGGTCTTCTGTGGTCATGGCATACTGGCATACTGTTGGGACAGGTGCAATTTTGTCAAATCCTGGATATGGAGAGCTTGTTCCTGGGGTTATTCAGGAATTTCTGTTCCATAACCTGCTTGTTGGAGAGGAGAGCAGACTTCATGTTTTTGCTAGGGTTTTATGGCTTCAACAACTACCAACTTTATACCGCAATCACTGTGGCAAACCTGTTGAGGCCTGGTGTAAAGACCTCTATGATGTGAAAGGCACTTCATCATTTCTAAATGCGTACGAGCAGAGGGTAAACTTTGGAGAAAAATGTTCACTTGATTTTCCCTTTGAGTAATAAAGTTGGTATTTGAGTAGGTTATATCTTGGTCTATTACCAAATACATTTGACACAACTATATATGTATCATATGTGTTTCTCTGTTCACAAAGCATGAATTGACCACAGATTTTTTCCTTTAGAGTTGGGATGTAGCTTGAGAGAACTGTCTTGTTGACTTCTGAAGGTACATGTACCCTTTTGTGTCAATTTCTACTTTTATGTACACAAAGCAAATGAAGTATTACCAAGGGACAACATAAATGTTTCAGTTTGATGGTCTACCAGCTGTAAATGGTCAGAGTATATTTAGAGAAATAATACATTGATCCCATACATTGTACCTAGACTTTTGAGGATAATCTGTATATAAATTGTATTTTGAGTGAAATTTTCTTTTTAAAATCTTGACAAATGCATACCTAATACAACTATCTGACATTTGAAGAGGTGATCAATCTCTATTTGCTGATGTATCATATCTTGTAGTTTGACGCATAATGTATATATTGTGATTGGCCTGTAACTGTTTTTAATATCATACATGTACAGTGTATACAATTTTCTGAAGATGGTCGATAACATTTTGATATTGGTAAACTGTGTTCTAGTATTTTCCATGTTTTAAGATTGTCGTTGCATTTTGAAATGTTTTTGATATTGAATAAAAGTTGTAATTGACTTCAACTGGTATCGGTGCAGACAACAATTACATCTTTTTAGTTCATCATCATTATCACGTATCACTCTACAAAATACTCTACACACAAACACACACTACTGTGATGGAAGGGTGTGTCGCCCTGTGTCACTCAGTGAAATACTCTGCACACACACACAATACTGTGATGGAAGGGTGTGTCGCCCTGTGCCACTCAGTGAAATACTCTGCACACAAACACACATTACTGTGATGGAAGGGTGTGTCGCCCTGTGCCACTCGGTGAAATACGCTGCAACACACACATTACTGTGATGGAAGGGTGTGTCGACCTGTGTCACTCGGTGACATACTCTGCACACACACACACTACTGTGATGGAAGGGTGTGCCGCCCTCTGCCACTCTGTTATCTATGTATATTTCACACAAAGTACCAATTAATAATGTTTTAATACAGTTTGATCAGTAAAAGGGTACATATATTTTTGACTCATAATCAAATGATTAACATGCATATTGATATGGTGCACAAATTAGATTTGTGTTGTGTCATGTATATGAATGTTGTGTTTATTGCGATGATTTGGGATATACTAAAACAATATTATTTTATAAATCTATGTCTTTCTCATATATGCTGCATGTAGTAAATTATGGGGGTGTGGGGACAGTATTGGGCATATGTCGTCGGTCTAGTCGCCTCATGGTGTGTTGTCATGACTACTGACTTCATTTCTTAATGATTTCAGCAAAGTTTACATAAAAGTCAAGTATGACAAATTAATACCTTAAGCTTGGATTTGGTCTTATTTCAGGCTACCAAGTTGAATGCCAAGGTCACAATGATGTGTATAGGTCAACCACAGGGGCCAAGGGTCCTTCATTTTTTACAGATTTTTTCTAGATTTATAACTGGCAAACTGGCATGACTGACCAAAAAAATCGTTAACTGTGCTAAACAAAAATTTAGATTCGTCAGTTAAAGACAGAATAAACATGAATGAAAAGTTAACTGGTGTGAAGAACTAGAAGCAGACATACAAGTTGAGGCACACAAAAAAAAAAAGGGTTTACACACATGCATGACATTGAAAATCCATTGTCTATTTGAACTACAAATTAGTAATTTACACAATTTAGCCAAAATCATAATGCTACATGATTATTTGTCTTTTTAAGGCTATTTAATTAATACTTATAAAACATTCATTTTAATAATTATATACATTTATTTAATTCAAATAAAAATAACTTTCATTCTGCATTGAATTTTTTTTGAAAATAATGTAATGTAAAATAAAGTATAATGGATAATTATTCTGAGCTTAACTTTCACATATAAACAGGAATAAATTCAAGATAAATTTTAAACTTAGTTCATTAAGGAATAAATGAACATACAACTATATTAAATCCATATTTATACTACATTTATTTCAGGGTTAAACTTTAAGAATAAAACTGCATTAAACTGGGGATAAACTTTAAACATGAAATTTATTAAGGAATAAATGAAAATAATGTCACTTAAACTCCAAGAATAAGATGCATTTCTAAATATGTTAAACTTCAAGAATAAAACTGCATTAAACTCGGGATAAACTTTAAATTTGAAATTTATTAAGGAATAAATGAAAATAACGTCATTTAATCTCCAAGAATAAGATGCATTTATGAATATGTTAAACTTCAAGAATAAAACTGGGTTAAACTCGAGGTAAATTTTAAACTTCAAATTTAACAAAGATTAATAGAAAATCATTTTCTTTAAACTCGAACTTTCATGCAGTGTTGTATCCCAAACTGGGTGTGGTGAACTCAATGGTCTATTTGGGATGAGGAGGTAGCGTAAGGACGGTTTCTGCACTTGATCATCACGGAACGAAGCCGCCCAGCATACGACCAGTCACGGAACGAAGGGCGCCCAGCATACGCCCAGTCACGGAACGAAGGCGCCCAGCATACGACCAGTCACGGAACGAAGGCGCCCAGCATACGACCAGTTACGGAACGAAGGCGCCCAGCATACGACCAGTCACAAACACTTCACTTTGTTGAGGATTTCAATTCATCGCAAAAGCTGAAGTCCTATCGAGTCGGTAGTTCCGGAGTTGAGGGTGACACCGCCAAAACAAAGAGCAGATAGGCTAAAAGCCTGGATAATTATGCCAATGGTTCAACAATAGAGAGTAGTAGATCAGTTATGGGTATAGAAATGTAAACAGACGACCCCCCCCTCCCTCCCACACACACTTATAATGAAGGGGGCTTACATTTGTACATTGAACATTAGCCGCCTCTTACAAATGCTGCCGTGGGATAGAGCAGATTTATTCTATAAAGTAAAATATCATTATCATATATAAATTGTTATAATAGATAAGTAGGGTATACAATATGGTGGTAATAGACATGTCTTTCTACAGCAATGGATATATTTAAGTGATCACTGGTACATATCTAAAAATAAATATTCAAATAAAGATGACGTAACACAGATAAAGGTAACGTTATCTAACGGACATGTTGAAGATGTTGTAGCGAGGTGGGCGGAACACGACGGATCACTGAGAAATGGGGCTCCTAGTTCTTTTTGTCGTTTTGACGATTTCACAGGTAAGAAGTTATTATTCAAATAATGCAAAGATCTGACCGTGTGCTACATATAAGACGGTAAACCTACTTTATACTACAGATAGAGATAGATAGATATCGTTATTTCCTCCATTATCATGACGATTATTCAGGGGATAGTACGTTGTTTTGAGTGGCTATACTGGCGATTAGAACATGAAGTTTTGGTTTGCACTCGAGACCGATAGGTCGAGAGTTTAAACCCAAATTTCATGTTCTAGTCACCAGTATAGACAAGGGAAACAACGTACTATCCCCATTCTTAACAAATATACTAGGCTAATATGTTTAGAAATATTGTATTTCCTTGTACAAAAGTACGTAGTAAAATACTTTGTGACCTGAACTGGCGACGTGTCATTCTGCAGCGGACTGACCAATCGGAAAGAAGCTTTCAAAAGTCGGTCATTTGGCTCCGCCCATACTGACGAGCGCTCGATCTGTATGTTGACGAGACGGAATATTTGGAATGTTCGTAAAGGTACTGTCACCAAAGTTTATACGACACGTTTGGATTAATATTGACCAAATTCTTACATTTCCACGTCAGTATGCATACCAATCTGTGCTTACCGACAAAATCGGTGATTATTTGTATAGATTTGTAAAGAGTTTTGTGTAAATTCATACGACAAATGTGAAATGTTTTATTTGATTTCGGATCTAAATAGATGCCTTCACACAAATGGAACGAACGTTTCAGTAATAAATGGAGGTAAGTACAAGGAATGTGTACTTTTTACTTTTTAATTCATTCAACAAATACATTTCATCGGTCGTTTCTGTTCTGTTGCCTGCTAGCCTTATCAGCGGGATTTCGCTAAGAGGCGAGCTTGACGCCATATGTTGTTGCTGTTGTTGTCTGTAATTTCCCCCGCTACCTAATCGGGGCACCTCGATGTGGTCTTCTGTCGAGTAGTTTATATCGTTGGGGTACTTCCTGTCGTTCCTGTATATTTATATTCATGTCACATGGAGAAATCCCATTACCGTATCGCTAACCATCACCCGATATATAAATGCATATAAATGTGACACGATCACTAATTCTAGTGACTCGGTTGAGGAAAACTGGACGAAATTCAAAAACGGCTTAAATTCCATCATCGACGAGCGCATTCCATCCAAACTGACCTCCATGAAACCTAATCAGCTTCCATGGGTTGGCAGACCAGAACGCCGCCTCATAAAGAGGAAACATCGCCTCTACAACAAGGCTAGGAAAAGTGGAAAGGATCGTACAGAGTCCACAAAAGGGAAACCCAAAAAACTCTCCGAACCGCAGAATGGTCCCACTTAGAGCGTACACTGCAGGTAGGAATTTAGCAGAAAAACAACGAACCCTTCTGGCGATACATCAAGGCCAGAAGCAGGACAACATCGGAATTGCTCCACTGAAAGAGGGTAACAAACTACTCACCGACAGTACAGACAAGGCGGAGGCCCTAAATCGACAGTTTCGGTCGGTGTTCACAAAGGAGCCCCCCAGTCCGGATCTCCCACCTCTCACCACACCCAATTATCCCATCATGAGGAACCTCATTATAGATGAGAAGGGAGTTGAGAAGTTGATCCGCGAAATCAATGTCAGTAAGGCTAGCGGTCCAGGCAACCTTCCAAATCGTGTCCTTCAACTGTGCTAAATCAAACTTGTCCCGGCAATGACTCATAAATCCCAACAATCGATTCTGACCGGTGAACTCCCTGATTACTGTAGGACAACATTACCCCAATCTTTAAGAAAGGTAACCGCCATCAACCCAGCAACTACAGGCCAGTGTCACTCACGTGTGTGTGTGTGGAAAACTGGTTGAGCATATTATCTGCCGCCACCTCAGGAACCATCTCGAGGAATACAACATACTGACACATCTACAACATGGCTTTAGGTCAGGACACTCCTGTGAATCCCAGCTGCTGATTACCACCTATGACATCACCAGCATGTACCACAGGAAGCTACAAGTTGACACTGCCATCCTGGATTTCAGTAAGGCCTTCGACAAGGTTCCCCATTCAAACCTCCTGTACAAACTAAAGAATTTCGGTGTGAACCCCGACATCCTACAATGGATCAAGGCCTTTCTGACATCACGGACCCAACGAGTACTTGTAGACGGCAGCCATTCAACACGAGTGAAGGTAGATTCATGGGTTCCCCAGGGGACGGTCCTGGCACCTATACTCTTCCTCCGCCACATCAATGACTTGCCCGACTGCGTAACATCTACTGTACGTCTATTCGCTGATGATTGTCTGCTATACCGTCCAATTCGATGCCTACAAGACCACCTGGACTTCCAAAAAGACCTCAAGTCCTTGGAAGAATGGGCAACGAAATGGGGTATGTCTTTCAACGCGTCGAAATGGTATATTCTAAGAACATCAAGATCCAAGTCTCCTAGTGCCTACAACTACCAACTGTCGGGCCAATTACTCAAAGAAGTGGAAGAAAATCCATACTTGGGAGTGACCATTCACAACTCCATGAAGTGGGACTCTCATATCCCCGTAACACAACCAACAAGGCAAATTCCACTCTCGGATTCCTAAGACGAAACCTGCGACAGCGTCACTGAAACTGACCGCATACAAATCGTTGGTGAGATCCGTCCTGGAATACCGCTGCACGATATGGGACCCTTACCACCAAAACTACAAGATCGTGAAGGGGTTGTATCCCAAACTGGGTGTGGTGAACTCAATGGGCTATTTGGGATGTGGAGGTAGCGTAAGGACGGTTTCTGCACTTGATCATCCCGCCATACTTCCAACTAGTATTTGTTTAAGGCATACTGTATCATATTTTTCTACTGTTGCTTTGTTGACGGGTTGCCGAGTAAGTTGTATATTATTGGAAGGTTATATTTAAGAAGCATCCCTCTCATGTGTAGAAACCAACTGTGACTCGTTCCATCCTTTATTGCAGATTGACGTAGTGCTAGTACATGTTCCAGTGTGGTTTTCCTCCTATCAATACTTCCTAAGAGACTTAGTGAGTTTTTCTCTATTGTGGCAGTGATCGGGGTAGCCCCCAGCAGAATGTATGTACCGGCAACTGAGCATCGTAGGCGACGAAGTGTGTCTTGTCCATATGTCTCTAGTGCCATTGCGTCTTTCAAAGAGAGCTGTATAACCTCTAGTCCATATGTCATTCTAGGGCGGGTAAATGTACAGTACATTTGATACGAAATTTGGGGTTTCAATCCATTCCTTCCATGTAGCCTCGCACCCATCAGGGCATACACAGCTCTTCTTCCTATCTGTATACGGCCCTGGATGTCTATTGCGCGAGAATTGTGTTTCTGTATTCCAAGGTCGCATCAGTTTCCTCTATGTCTGCCGTGCCTTGTTTCCACATGTGGCTGGGTCTAGCTTTTGGGACATTATATAGGACAATGTTACTCTTACTTTCGTTGATACTAAATCTTTCCTTCTGTGTATGATAGTTGATACTATTCAAAGTTGTCTGCATTTCCACAGGGTTGTCGTGCAGTAAGGAGATATCGTCTGCAACTGTTGGGGCTCCGACGAATATGTTCCCTATGTTGGCTCCACGCCCGTTATCTCTAGTATGATTCAGGATGTCATTGCTGAAGGTTTTGTACATGAACGGAGAAAGTTTGGCTCCTTGCCTAATACCTTGATTCACCTTGAGCGTTGGGCCGAGTCGTCCCTCATAGTTTGCGGCGGAGTAGGATTCTGTTTGCATCTCTTTGACCAGGTCCCATAGTTCCTGTTGCACTCCTGCATGGTACAGTTTCCGCAATAGTCCATCATGCCAAACAACATAAAAAGCCTTGGCTGCATCAAGCGTGGTCAGTGCTAACGGTTTGTTGATATCAAAGGCCTCAATGATGCATTCTTCTACTAATAACGCAGCATTCAGGGGCGAGGTTTCTTCTGTGAATCCCGTCTGTAGTTGGTTTGTTTTGTTTTGGTTAGAAACGGGGCGTGGCTTCAGTGCGATGGGAGGAGCTTAACACGATTGAAGCAATACACTTTACTCCGCTTGTTCCAGTCTACTCAGCTGTAAATGAGTACGTAATTGGGCAGCACTAGAATTGTAGAATGCTAGCTGGTAGCGCCGCAATGGCAGCTCCGGCTGTATGCTCCCCAGGGAGTTGAGAAAGATATTGGCTTGTTGCAAAGGCCTTATAACCATGGATAATAATTTGTGAACCGCTTTGAGACGACCTAAGAACTAGGTTGTGATAAAGCGGTATATAAGAACCTCGAATTATTATTATTATTTAGCCATGTCAGTGTCCTCCAGATCAGAAAACTGTCTATAGTTCGATGTACCTAATATATTCAATGACATTGCGTCCTTGCTGTCCACACAATTTACTTGTAATTATATCATTTACGTACAGAAATGTCAATTTTATCATTTACATATAGAAATGTTAACTTTATCATTTACATATAGAAATGTTAACTTTATCATTTACATACACAAATGTTAACTTTATCAATTCTGCTAGTTTCCAAATATAAGACGGATATTTTACGCCTAGACCCCCTAGCGGAGGTAACGTCAAATTCTTTTGGATGCGTGAGTAGATGCAGAGTTCATTCCGTTCACTTAGCTCCGTCCTCCATTTTGTATCTTGGTGGCGGTAGATTACATTTGGTACGAAATTTCTCCAGCTTGTTTTTCTAAAAGGTCGCTAAAAAAAAATCCTTGAGGAGGCTGTTAAAGTTGTACTTTCCACGAATTCTTACAAAATCGGGAATGACGCCTGATACGACACTTTCTTCATCCATGACGTCACACATACGGGCATTCAGGAGCTTTTTCTATATACATTTTGAATCTCCTCTGTTCAGACGATTAAAAAAAATGCAATTTACATTTGTCCATATATGCAGGGCTGTCCAATAGACCTAATGTAGAAATTGTCACACACGAAGGTGAGTCATATCCGAATACTTGACATCTTCTTCTCACTACTCTAACACATGCGCGTCCATACCCA